TCAAAAATCAATCTAACATCATCAAATAAATCTCACAAGATTCGAGCGATTCTTCTCCCGAAATTCCAGCAGAATGCATTTCGAAACAACCCTCACCATAATGGATATAACTCTTAATGTAAAGGTCCAAAAATTATAAAATTTTATACAATTCTATTCAAAACATATATTAACAACTTTCATTCTTTAAGGTTGACCCAAAAATCATCCTAAAGTCCTCAAATAATTCACATAAAACTCGGGCAAAATATAGTCCTTAAAACACCGATTTTGCATATTTGATTTTTTTAATAATTAAACCATTAATCTTAAGCACAATAACTTTAATTTAACATAAATCACATATTTCAAGCATTAATTTCTCATTATGAAATGAGAATTATACTTACTCTTAATATACATATACATAGAATGATTCTAATACACGTCGCATTACGAATAAGGGTTTTTACGGGGGTTACAAGTTTAACCCCCAAGTATACCATGTTCAGCAAGTAGATCAAATACATACTTCCTTTGACATAAAAATATGCCTTTTGAAGATCTAGCCACTTCAATCCCAAGGAAGAACTTCAATCTTCCCGGATCCTTTATTTTGAACCGAGAATGAAGATATTGTTTAAAATTTTCAATGATAGTTGTTGAGTTACTAGCAATAACGATAGCATCAACACGCAAAAGCAAAGCAATGAACCCTCTTGATGGAATCTATTTAGTAAACAAAGAGTAATCTGATTTTGACCGCAAAAATCCAAAAGATAACAATGAAGAAGTTAGTTTAGCATTCCATTGTCTAGAGGCTTGCTTTAATCCATAAAAGGATTTTCGAAGCTTACATACTAGCCTTATGTGTCCAGAATACTCCTCCCGGACCTTATACCCACGTGGAAGGTCCATATACACTATCTCATTCAAATCTCCATGAAGGAAAGCATTGTTCACATCTATTTGAGCAAGAAACAAATTCTAGGAAGTAGCAAGTGCTAAAAAGGCCCTTATCGTAGTTTGTTTAACCATAGGATCGAAGGTTTCTTCAAAATCAAAACCTTCCTTTAGCAACTATCCTAGCCTTATATTGATCAATACTCCTATCAACATGAAGCTTGATCTTATACACCCATTTGCAACCTACCGTATGCTGCTTGTGGAGGAAGAGGAACAACTATCCAAGTATTGTTATCATCTAATGCATCAAGCTTTTACCTTCATGGCTACTTGCCAATGCTCGGAGTGTAAAGCTTAGGCATACGTTTGAGGCTCAATAAGAGTGGAAAGACAAAAAATAAAAAAAAGTAGGAGAAGAGGAATGATTTGATATAGAAATAAACTTGTGAATAGGATATTATGTAGAACTAGTAGAAGAAAATGCAGTGTGATAATCGAACAAATAATTTGATGGCCTACTAGATCTATTGCTTTTACGAACTGGAATTAAAGGAACATAATGGTCATGAATGATAGGGGAAAGATTAGTATCTTTAGAAGGAGATACGAGTATCGATACAAGGTTTAGGTGTGGAATCGGTGATAGAAAAGGTATGATTAAGCATAAAATCAGTATTAGAAAAAATATGAGGTACTGCATGGGAAACATCAAAAAGAGCAAGTTCGAAACAATAGGATTAGATTTGTGGTATGAGAAAGGAAATACATGTTCATGAAGCACATCATCCCTAGATTTGAATACGAGTCTTAGAATGCAAACCATACAATTTATATGTTTTCATGGCAATTAGATAACCAAGAAAAATGCATTATCGAGCTCTAGGATCAAATTTCTTTTGATTTTGAGATAAGGTAGATGCAAAACAAAGATGTCCAAAGACTCTCAAATGAACATAAGAAGGTGTTTTATGGAATAACATTTCATAGGGAGTTTTGTTATGGAGAATTAAAATAGGTAATCTATTAATGATATAAGTCTGCAGTTAAGACAGACATCCCCCAAAAAGTGACTAACAAAGAAGATTGAAACAATAGAGCTCTTGTAACATTTGGCAAATGTTGATATTTTCTTTCAACAATGCCATTTTGTTATGGTGTTTTAACACACGAAAGTTGATGAATAATGCCTTCGGTGGAATAGAATTCGGTAATTTGAACTTAAGGTCATTGTTAGACTTGACTTGTTTAACAAGTAGGTTAAATTGAGTTTGAATAAGTATGTAAAAAGTCAGAAGCAAAGTGGTAACATTAGATTTAGATTTCATCAAATACACCTAAGTTATTCTTATGAAATCATCTACTATGATAAGGAAATATTGATATTTACCATGAGTAAGATGTGAATAAGGTCCCCAAATATCAACATAGATCAATTCAAAAGGAGTTATGGAAGATTGATTATGAATTGGAAAAGAAAGTCTTTTGTGTTTTGCCAATGGACAAATAATACAAGAAGCTTTATTTGAAAATGAAGTATTGATTACAAAAGGACAAACTTCAATTTTTCGAAGAGACATGACCTAGCCTAAAATGCCAAAGATTAAAACAACTATCAACACCAATTATAGAGTTAATGTTTGTAGGATGTAAATAAGAAACATCTAAAGCAATGGATTTTAAGGATGAGAGATTGGTTTCAATGAAATAAAGTCCACCCTTAACTCTAGCAAGACCAATCACTCGTCCATGAAGGAAGTGCCTAAATGAAACAACAATTATCACGAAAATCAAGGACATATTTGCCGATTTGGTAAGTTTACTAAAGAAAATGAGGTTAAAATGAAATGAAGGAACATTTAGAACATCATGAAGGATTAATTCGGAGGACAAAGAAATAGTACCGGAATGAGTAGCAATGGCTTGAACATTGGCATTAGAACATGTGCATGATTAATGACATGAAAAGAGCAATAAAACTCTAATGAAAAAAATTATATGATTTGATGCACTTGTATCAACTATCTAGGATTGATGATTCATGAAGCATGAGGATGTTTTGAAAATTTCAATACAGCAATAGTATTTTGAGGAATGGAGAAATGGTTTAGAATACTATATACCTGCTAGATTTGAAAACACAGAGTTGATTGTTTATGAATTCGAGTTCGATCGAGGATGAGGAAGGAATGTGTTGATTTTGAATATTGAGAAGAGTCAATAGTTGTTGAACTTGATGTTAAGTCAAACAAGTTTGAGACATTGATCCTCTTGATGAAGTAGAGTTTTCAAGATTTGCATTGTCGATCATAGAAGCAGAATTGACGAAGTAAAAGTTCTTTCATTAGGCTATGAGTTGCCCGAAAATTACAAATTTCTAAAGGAAAATCCTCGTAGTTGATTGTGAGCTTCCTTAAAAAGACCGTGAGTTCCTCGAATATCCACCTTGCAAGGCTTCCTTGTTTCGGTAAACTTAGTGACATTTGGAAAACCATTCGATCGATAGCATCTCTCCCTTATATAGCCATTCTTGCCATAATAAGTTCAAACAAATGGATTTTTAAACTCGTTTCTAAAATCTATTACGGTTGTCATAGCTAAAGCATCTATGAATGTTTGAAGCTTGCATTGCATGTTCCTCTAAGATTCTTACCTGACTACTAGATTATATACTTCATCAAAAGAGGGAAAAGGCTTCATCATTATCATATATGATCTCAATCTATTATACGACTCATTCAATCCATTCGGAAAACAAAAAACGTAATCCTTTTACCTGGAGATCAATACACTTCTTGAAATAATTGTTATTGCATTGTCCACATTCATAACGAGGCAGAGGTCTAAAATTCCTCATTTCCTCTTAAATTGAATTCAACTTAGTAAAATATTCATCAATGCTTTGGTTACCTTGGTTCATAGTAGATAATGCATGTTAAAGATTACATATCTTAGAATCATCGACTTGAATGAACTTTTTCTTCAAAACCATCCATATCTCTATAGTTGAATCCATGTAGAACACATTCGCTGCAATTGAAGGAGAAATCTAACAAAGCAACCAAGAGATGATCAAGTTGTTGCATCGAAGCCATAGACCATATAGTGAGCTATTACTAGTTGGTGCAACGATTGTACCATCAATGAAACCAGATTTGTTGCGAATGGAGAGAGCTAAAAGGAAGGAATGACTCTAGGAAGTATAGTTACTAGAAGTCAACTCTAGAGAAACAATAATCGAGCTATGATTATCTGAGTGATGTAAGAAGAAAGGTGACTATGGATCTTCTACTAACATGCTCAAAGATGGATTTGCCATTGATGATTTCTTTAAAGTGTAATTGAATATGAAAACCCTAGTTCCTTAGCTTTGATGCCATGTTAGAATGAAAAGAATGCAAAGAGATTTAAGAACGAGAGCAAAGAGGAGAAAAATAGAATTGAATTTTCTACTATAAAAACATAACCATCTCAGCTACCTTCCTTATACAAATGATGCCTTTATATAGGTTGAGAGGAAAGAAAGAGAAGAATTATCCTAACTGGAGAAGAAAAGAAAAACGAAAGAAAAGAACATCTCTAACAAATTGTAGCTAACTTTGTTAACTAAACAAGCGAAGCAAAACTAATTGTTATAGCCATAACGACTATATTTTAAATTAATAGCCTCGTGTCATTTTCTTTCTTAATATGAGGATCATGAAATTTAATCGATCAAATCATTGCTAAAATTCTAAAATTTAGAAAAAAAGTCTCAAAAATACCATCAAACTATATAAGTAGTATCGATAGTATTATCAAATAATTTGAGTATCAATTATACCATCAAACTTTTAAATTCTCAATTAAAGATTTTTGTTCATTTTTAAAGCTTTTTGCTCATATTTTCATCCAACTTGTACCTTATTTTTGTAAAAAAAAATGACATCTTTTTGTAAAAAAGGTAACATTTATTTTAAGTTATTCTAACAGAAATTCTTAATTTAGAAATCAAAATAATTTAATAGTAATATTATAGGAAAAAAAGTTTGAAAGCAAAGTTGATACTAACCCAATAGTTTGGTGGTATGTTTGATCTAAAAATCAATCCTATTTTTTATTTATTTTTAAAATTATAGGGCCATATCGAGAAAGGTTAAAACTAGGGGCGAAAGTGGAGTAATGATGAACAGGGTAAAAATATAGTATGACCCATACATATACGTTAATCACGACTTGAGAAGTAAATTATAAATTGTTCGATCTCTTTAGTTTTCACGAACAAATTAATTACTTTTCTATATTTTTAGAAATTAATTATTTAATTTTTTTTGTTTATTTTATATATTTTATTCTAAGTTTTTGTTTAGAAAAATCAATATTATGAAAAAATTAATGTTAAAAGAAAATATTTTTAAAATAAAATAATATTAAATTAAAAATAAATAACAATGATTAATGAAATAGCAACATAAGAGCCTTCTAGCTTGGATGATTAAAGGAGACTAAGATGGATAATAGAAGGCACCACCACTAGACAACAAGATGGGCCGACTTGATTTTTGTGGGCCGACTTGCTTTAGGCAAAAAGAGATTCTCTTGTTGTGAGAGTGATAAGGAGAATGTTAGAGAATAATATAAATCATATTTTGAGACCTTACCTAATAGGTTAAGTTTTTGGGTGATATGGTCATTTGACATGGTATCAAAGCCTTGATGACCAAATAGTCGTGAGTTCGAATCCAACCACCTTATTTTCTCTTCGAATTAATTAAGCATAAAGTAATGTGGGTCCGTGTAAATTTCAAACTCAAATGTCATTTCACTTAAGGGGGTGTGTTAGAGAATAATATAAATCATATCATGAAACCTTACCTGATAACTCAAGCTTTTGGTTGAGACGGTTGTTTGATAGAGACCAATACGGTAAGGTCCACATAGTATCCATTGAGCTTGGACAACCTATATATTTTATAGATTTAATGAAAAAATTATCTTAAATTATTATATTATAGCAATTTAAGATTCATGCTATCAATTTGGGCTATTTAAATTCAAAACTATTATTATTATTATTATTATTATTTTGCAAGTATTATTTTTTACTGCACTATTTTTAACGGTCAAAATATTGGTTTAATGACAAAATTCACCTCCAAACTATTGGAGATGTAGCAAAATAATATCTATGATATCAATTTGGAATATTTAAATCTTGAATTATTATGTTTTTGGTAAATTTTGTCCTTCTCTCGTTATTTCGACAATGAAACTATTGACCATTAACTAAAATACTTAAAATGACATCATTTTAAGCATTCTAAACTTTTTTAGAATTAAAATTAATTTATAAAAAATAATTAGAACTCATTTTTTTAATTAGATGGATCTATAGTACATCGTTAATTATAATTTTATTTCCATATTATATTTGAAATAATAATAATAAAATCAAAATAAATTTAAAAAGTTTAATATTAATTCTTAAGATGAATAAAAATAATCATTAAAAAATAATTTTACTAATTATGATGGTAGTAAAAATAATAAATATAATTGTGGAGGCAATAGTAGTGGGAAAAAAAAAAAAAGGAGAAAGAGAAGATGGTGGTAATAGTTGTGTTTTAATCGAAGTAATATATTTAAAAAACAAAATTAATGCCACTACTAGAAGAGATGGTGGTGGAAGAAGATTGATGGTAGTAATAGTATAATAAAAATAATGTGGTGGTAGATGAATAATAAAAAAAGTGATAATTTTGAATATTTTTTATCATCACCCATAATGGCGGTGTTTAATGATAGTGATGATGTGATAGAATTAATAAAAATAGTTAATGCATAATAAATAGAAATAACAAATTACTATTTTGAAAAAAATATATAATTTTCATTCTTTGTTTTATTCCTACATCCTCAATGACAATAAAACTCTATTTAATTTTAATTTGTTTTTCACCTTTTATTTTTACTTTTACTTTATTTTTTCACCAAACACTTATAAAATGGGATTAAAATTATTATTATTATTATTATTATTATTATTATTCTCACTTATTTTTGAAAATACAAACTTCAATGTTTCGCTCTCGAGAAAAGTTCACCATCCAAAATGATTTAAAAAGTACTTATAAGATATGTTAGTTAAGAGCCCACCCAACGTAATTATCAATCTAAAGTCCACCTTAATCAATCACTTTAAAAATGTGTTTCACAATATTCTAACCAATCCAAGTAAAGAAAATTATCTATCTTTTGTTATTTTTGTTCTTGTTATTATCATCATTAGTATTTATCTTAATTTTAGAAGTATCATTGACTAGCTTTTTTAGTCTAAAACTAAGTCCATACCTAATCGGCTTTTAAACAAGCAATTTACACATAAATCGATGAATTAACAAAAAAAGTAATTTTCTTATAAGTGACCCCAATACATGCAAATTTAAATATCACGGCCTCATTAATGAGTGTATGAGCTTATTAATTTGCAAATATTTTGCATATTGACTTGTACTTAATTAATTTATTTTTGTTTGGGTGCTTTATGTAAAAAATACCATAAGGTCATGATATACTGCTCAAAAACAAAAAAGTTACATCCTTAACCATTATTCTTGAAGTAAACAATTTGCAAAGTAAATTATTTGTTTCCCCTCAATTGCAATTGAATAAACTTGTATGGCTCAAGTCATTCGGATTCCTCCATCTTTTTCCTGCTCTTTTCTTTTCACCTCTTATATTTGCAAATATTACTTTGACACTACTTTCTAAGATTCTTATGCTATGTTAGCACCTGCAACTTTAGACATGCACGTTATTCACGACTTGAGAAGTAAATTATGAATTAGTCTCTTTAGTTTTCACAAACAAATTAATTACTTTTCTTTGTTTTTAAAAATTGATTATTTAATTTATTTATTTTATGTTTTCTTTTAAATTGTTTTGCTAAAAAACAAGGGAGGGGGATCGATATTATGAAAAAATTAATATTAAAAAATTATTTTTAAAATAAAATAATATTACATTAAAGATAACAAACATTGATTAATGAAATAGTAACATAAGAGCCTTCTAGCTTAGATGAGACTAGGCGGGGTAATAGATGGCACCACCACCGGACCACACGATAGGTGTCATTACACGACGTCGGACGAGACTCCCCAAAGAAATTGAATCTAAGCGTTAATTATTTACAAAATTGTTTACGGAGTTTTGGAGTCGCCACCTAGTATTTAAGGAACTAAGAACTCGAAAATAGTACTAGTTCGAAGATTCCTAAGGTAAGGAGTTGGTTACGCTTTTAGGAAGATATTTAATCACCTAAAAGTACCTTTTTTCTTTTTTTGAAAAAAAGATACCATGTATGATTTAGTCCTAAATTCATCTCCCAAAATGTCATATCAAACTATTTTCTAATTTTTAAACTCCCATTTTTTTCAAAGTTAAGCTAAAAATTTTTTTTTTTACTTTGAGCGTGGCATCGTATTGAAACGATCGTCGGTTCCCTTTGTCGAGTGACATGTCGGTTTAAACATCGGATCCACTAAAAGCCTTGACACAACCGATGTGTCGGAGGACATCTTGATTAAAAGGTGATTTTTGATGACATCGGTCCCTATCAAGTAGGAGACTTTATCGAAAATCTTGAATATTCTTTTCGATGACGTCGATCCCTATTAGATAGGAGACTTTGTCAATTTATTTGTTTATTATTTTTTTGTGGCGTCGGTCCCTACCAAGTAGGAGGCTTCGCTAAAATTTTTAGGCATTTTTTATGACGTTAGTCCCTATTAGATAGGAGACTTCGTCAAGATTTTTTATAATTTTTCTAGCAATACATATTGAAGAAAAGAAAAAAAATTAAAATAATAGTTCTAAATTAATATAAAAAACGACAAGGAATAAAAATAAGCGAGGCTAAATAAATAAATAAATAAAAATGATAGATGAATTAAAAAAAAATTATTCTATACCTAAACCATTAACCCCCAACTTATTTTTCTACCCATCCTTTTTCCCTTTCTTTTTTTTCTTCCCTAATTCTATTTTTTATTTCTTTTTTTTATTACCCTTTTCCCTTTTTGTTTTATTTATTATTATTTTTTTTAGAGAAGGCTGGAGTGGAACTAGCCTTCTCGTTTTATTTATTTTATTTTATTTTATTTATTTATTTATTTTGGGCTTTTGAAGGGTGGGCTATGGGTCGGACCCCCCTTTTTTTGTTTGGATAAAGGGTGCGGGTTGGATCGAGTTCTTTTCCTTTTCCTTTTTTTGTTTTGTCTGCAACGGGTTGAGTCGGGTTGAAATCAGTCTAGTCCCCCTTTCTTAATGCCCCGACCGGGCTTAAGCCTACAAACAGATCCGAAAAATTAAAGTTCCAAAAATTCGATCAAACACGACTCCTTATCCACTCTCTTCTATTCTTCATGGTCATGACTTCTTCTCTCTTTTTCCAGTTTCCCTGAATTAAAAATCCCGATTCCGAACCAATGAACTCATTAACCCAAAATCTTAATACCTAGATAATTAAAGAAAATGAAAACTCGGAACCGTCAGTTGACCTTGGATGCTTGAACGGGTTTCGAGTTGGAGAACTAAGGTTCAACGATGTGAAGCTTCAACTGCAAAACCTGGAACTCCAAGAATTTTCAAGTGCTGCCTAGAAAGTGAAGAACATTGAAGAACCAATTCAACGCCGCCATAAAATAAGGAATACCGAATCTTCTAGGAGAGAACCCAAGGATTGAAGAATTTGAACCCAAACTTTAGGAAGTGGGATTAAGAAGCACTTGAGGATGGAAAAATCAAACTCGAAAAACAACAAAAAGGATTAAAGGAGACTAACAGTACGATGAACTAGACCCGAAACCCAAGAACACTAAGAACACCATCTCGAAAAACCCAAAAAATGCGATGACTAAAAATCAACAAATGAAGCCTTTTGCCTTCGATTTTCACTCCCTCTCAACCCGAATTCCTCTCCTCCTATTCCTCCCTTTTCTCTATGAAATTAAACCCATTTTATAGCCGAAACTTCCTAGAATTGAATCTAAATCCTAAATTTTTCTATCAAAATATTTCCTCTTTAATTCATGATTAATGTGAAATCAAAACATGAAATTTGATCATTGCTTCTGTTAGTATTGATTTTGGCAACGAATCCATGATTAATGCACAATCAAAACAAGAAATTTGTGGAGGATTTGGGCAGATTCTCCCAAAGATTTTCGGAGAGAATTTGCATTGGAGTGGACGACAAGTCATCTTCTCCATTTCGGTCCTATCATTCATTCCAAACTTCTAGTTTGGTCCTCGTGCATTTCAAGTCCAACAATCACGCCCTTCGATGGTATAATTTTAGTCTTCATAAAGTGCAATCTTATCAATTGGATCCTTGTAAGAAGCAATTTAGGTTCTAAATTTTTCACTTGGTTCAATTATACCCCTAATTACTTCAATTATATGTTTCTTTAAATGAAATTGTGCCCCTGAATGAATATTTTTATGTTTTTTATCATTTTATTATTATTATTATTATTATTATTATTATTATTATTATTATTTTTGGTAAACTTCAATTGAAATAAAACAAAACATAAATGAAATAAAAAATAAAAAGATAAAAATAAGAATAATAACAAAATAAGATAAAATAAAATAAAATAATAAAAAGAAGAAGCAAATTTGGGTTATTATAGTTGCCTCATCTTTACAATGCTTATGGCGCAAAGTCAAGTGAAAAGGTTTTTTTTTTTTTTTTTTTTTACCTGAAAGTAAAGCTATGATGGGATGACTTTAAAAGTTAAAATGCGAGTGCATGGCCTTATTGTAAAGGGCGACCTACCCTATACATTAAACATGCAATACATGACCTTATTGTAAAGGACAACCTACCCTAGAAATTAAACGTATAGTGCGTGACCTTATTGTAAAAGGCGAGCCTATCCCGAAACTTATACGTGCGAGTGCATGGCTTTATTGTAAAGGGCAACCTACCTTAGAAATTAGATATGCGATGCGTGACCTTATTGTAAAGGACGACCTACCCTTAAAATTAAATGTGCGATGAAAATTAAACGTGTGGTGCGTGACCTTATTATAAAGGGTAGCCTACCCCGAGAATTAAATGTGCGAGTGCATGACCTTATTGTAAAAGGCAACCTACCCTAAAAATTAAATATGCGAGTGCATGGTCTTATTGTAAAGGATGGCCTACCTTAGAAATTAAACATGTAGTGTGTGGCCTTGTTGTAAAGAATAGCCTACCCTAAAAGTTAAATGTGTCGATGTATGGCCTTATTATAAAGGGTAGCCTACCCTAGAAATTTAAACGTGCAATGTGTGACCTTATTATAAAGGGTAACCTACCTTAGAAATTAAATATGCGATGTGTGACCTTATTGTAAAAGGTAGCCTATCCTAGAAATTTAAACGTGCAATGTGTGGCCTTATTGTAAAGGGTAGCCTACCCTAGAAATTTAAACGTGCAAATATATGGCCTTGTTGTAAAGGGCGACCTACTCTAGAAATCTAAACGTGCGCCGATCGTTTAGCAATCTTACCCGATGAATTGAGTTAATCGTCCTTATCTAAAAGTGGTCATTCAACTTTGGATTTCGCACTTGGGCGGTGATTTATTATGAGGTGACCATACCCGAGGTGGATTTGTGAGGAGTATTGCTTTTCCATTCCCTTTGTATTCGTTAGGATTGCGATGTGCTCGAAAACAAACTCAACATATCTGGTTAGTCAAGGTACCTATAAGAAATATAGGCCACCTCGCTCGAATTCATTTGTTTGACTTTTCTCTTTCGACTATTAGAAGTCGATCGACTATACGTGCTCCGAGCTCCATGACCCCGCCCTCGATTGTGTTTTTTACTTTCTTATGAACTTGGTTGATCTATCCTTCGAAGTTTATGAGGAGTACGAGTAGTCCCCTCAATCTATTGACGGTAATGGTCGCTCCCTAGCTTGATCAGCTATCTACCGACCGCTTACGTCCGATGAGAATGATGGTGGATTGGTTGCTACTTTAGTAACCTTCCTTGTAACTCGAGGTTCCATATTGTTCTTGAAATGTTTGACACTTCTCCATTTTATGAATTTTCTCCTTCATAGGGAAAGCTAGGTAGATTTTATTCGGAGATTTTGGATTTAAAGCTCGAGCAAAAACCCATCGATTACTCACGAACTTGTCATGCAAATGTTTCGAGGATAGCCATAATGGTTTTTTTTTTTTGTGAATATTGAACTTTAACGAGTGAGAAAATTACAAGTTCGATGGTAGAAGATATTGTTTTCCCTTAGGTATTGGCACCAATCATGATTTTGACTAGCCTATGCCTCGATTTTGACTATCCGTTTAATAAAAATTCATTTGTAGGGGCTCGCGAATCTGACACTCATCCGATCGATTACTTGTCTCTAGTTTGAAAGGACTTTTATTGGTACGTAATGTAGGCTAGGGCATGGTTTCCTAAAAAATAGGTAAAATAGGTTCAAATAGCGTTTCGGGGTTCACTTGACGTAGGATCACTTTTTTTTTTTCAAATAAGATTTGATTAGAGGCATGTTTGATTATAATTTCGTCAACCTAACTTAGGATCGATGTTTCGGAGGTGATTTACTCTTTTTTCTAATGAAGTAGCAACCATTTTTTTGAAAACTTTGGTCTTTTTTTTTTTTTTTTGAGTGCGTGGAAAGACCATGACCTTATTCCTCCTTCATTCTAAATCCTTTTTAGTAGTGACTCCTTTTTGGATTTTTAGAACACAAGTTGTTTGGTGACATGCCTCTCAAATCCCATTTTGGTTTTTTTTTTTTTCCCTCGATGTGAGGGGTGATCCTAGTCCGGGTTTCATGAAGAAAAATAGAAGGCTCAAACTTGGTTTTCAATGGATACGTTTCACATAAGTATGATAAAATTCCCAAGAAGGCTTTTCCTTATCCTATCAATAATAGTATCCGATATATACAAGTTTTATTTTCTTGAACCCTTTTTATTAGAATAATATCAAGATAGGACCTATAAATCTAAACATTTGTAATGTTATTTTCATGGGTGGTGCCATAGGACCAATTTGGGACATGTACCAATGAAAAGATTTTCGACTCGACGTTTTTTTTTGGCGTGTTGCATGACAAGCCTCGATTGTCGATAAGACGTACTCATTCCTTTTCATCGGGTTCAACATTTTATTTGTCTATTATTAGACCAATATAACATTGAGCGATTACCTTCGTCTTGAAATCTTAGTTGCTTTTCCTAGTCCGGAGTAATCTTGATATGTTTAAAGTGGCTAGAATTCAAAAGGCATATAGATCCTAGGTTCTTTCAAGGTTCATCGGGGGTTTTTTTTTAAGAGAGAAGATTGAGCCTCGTCATACGTTAAGTACAACATCTGCTATAACATCTTAATTTACTTGCATATCATGTATAAATAATATTAATAGAGATCATGAAATGACAAAGGAGGTGATCGTTTATGGGATCGAGGAAATAAAGATAGAAAGAAAAATCCAATGTATATGTTTGGCTTGAATTTCATTCTTTATTTCATGAAGAAGAAAACAACAACCTTCAAGCATAGTATTTTTAACCGCATCAGATTTTATAGGTTTGGCTATGTTCTTCCCATCCATACCGGTCACAAGGAGTGCTCCCCCGAAAGTACTTTTCTCACTACATAAGGGCCTTCATAGTTGGGTGACAACTTGCTTTTATTCTCCCCGTGTATCGATAAAACTTTCCTAAGCACCGGATCTCTCTCATGGAATTCTCTTGGTCGAACCCTTTTGTTGTATGCGTTAGTCATCCTTTTTCGATACATTCTTGCATGAGTAAATGGCGGCTAGCCTCTTTTCACTAATCATGTTTAATTATTCATATCCGATCCGAGCCCATTCTCGCTTCTTCGAATTTTGTCTCCATGAGTACCTTAAGAGAAGGGATTTCTACTTTCAAAGGCATCACCGCCTCTATCCCATAAACCAAAGAATATGGTGTTAGCCCCATGGATGTTCTTACGGTCATACGATATGCATGTAGGGCATATGAGAGCTTTTCATGCTAGTCTTTATATGTGACAATCATCTTCTATATGATTTTCTTGATATTCTTATTTGCAGCTTCAACTGCCCCATTCATCTTAGGTTGATATGGTGTCGAAGTTCAAATGTTTAATTTTCCACCTTCCGTATAATTCTTTGATCATCTTTCCATTGAAGTTCGAGCATTATCGATGATTATTGTTTCTAGTAAACCATACCGACAAACCAAACTCTTCTCTATGAATCGTTGAACCACTTTCCGAGTGACATGAGCATAAGAAGCGACTTCAACTAGGGGTGTGCAAACGGTTCGGTTAACCGAAAACCAAATCAAACCGAACCGTATTAAGATATTTGGTTCGGTTTTGAATTTAAAATTTACTATTTATAACCGAATCAAAAACTGAAATTTATTTCGGTTCGGTTCGGTTTTTTAAAAAAATTTCGATTCAACCCAAAAACCAAAATTTATTCCTTATTTGAGTTATTTGACTTATTTCTATTCAAAATTTCGATTCCATTTCGGTGTTTTACCATTTGTCCATTTCTCTTCTCATTTCCAATTCCAAATAACTAAAATCGACAAATCCCTAACCCTAACTCCTTATTC